TGTCTAATCACAACCCAGCTCAATTGCTGAGGGATGAAAATCTTTTAATTCCTGAGTATGAAGAAGCATGTGGTGTATATGTTAGTTCTTTTGCTTTTCATGAGTTCCAAAGCTCTCCTTTCTTTTTCTCTGGGCACTGTTGCCCCTCCTTCTCCTGGCTTGCAAATTCTTTGTCTCTGATAACAGCAGTTGAAGCCAGCTCTGCTTTATTTATTTATTTATTTATTTATTTTTATTCACTCTTCATTGCTTCATCCTCCCTTATGAGGAAGGGTGGGCTCTCTATCAGAGGTAGTGATTTTTTTTTTTTTTTACACACTGCAGCACTTGTTAAACTTTTCTGGAATACAGTGAAACTTTGATAAGTGCAGCCTTTCTTTCCCACTGTCCCTAAAATAACTACAGCATCCAAAAAGTCCACGGACTGGTCTCTAAAATTCATACAGACCATTGGCTCCTCGTGACCAGCCTCAAAAACATTTTTCCCTTGCATTTCCAGAGCCAGTTTATTTTAATCTTGATTCTCTTCCCAAGTCTCTTCATTCCTGCAGTCAGTTCAAACCCTAAATATTTTATTTCTTGTTGAACCAACTGTGCTTTCTTTTTTAGACGCCTTGTATCCTTTTGTAGCTAAATGCTGTAACACTTGCTGGGTGGCTTTTAAACATTCTTCTCTAGTTTCAGTTGCAAGCAAAATATCATCCACACATTGCAAAATATTCCACTTGTTTCCTCCCTGTGTGAGTGGCACTAAATCTCTAGCTAGAGATAGTCCAAAAATACTGGGACTGTTGCAAAATCCCTGTGCGAGCCTCGCCCAGGTCATGGGATGTTTCTGACCTGTCTCTGGGTTTTCCCATTGAAATGCAAAAATTTCCTGACTCTTTTCATGTAATCTGATGCAAAAGAATGCATCTTTAAGGTCTAGAACTGAAAACCACTGTAGGGTCGGGGGTAACAGGCTTAATAAGGTATAAGGGTTTGGAACTACTGGGTGCAGGGGCTCCACTCTCTGATTTACTGCCCTTAGATCTTGAACTGGTCTATAAGTCCCATCTGGCTTCTTCACTCGTAACATAGAATCATAGAATCATAGAGTTGAAAGAGACCACAAGGGCCA